AGTGGTTAGCAACACAGCAAGTGATCTCATTAATAACACCAAAACCTCCCCCCCCAAATTAATAAAGCAAGTTATGAAAAGACTTGCAGACATAATTTGTTTACTATTGTTTCTCTCCAATAATCCTTTTTTTTAGAGATTTAAAAAATAACTCTGATTTTATCTAATATGTTGCATAAATAAACATCAGGTGCAAACAACAAATATCAGCCTGAGCTAATAAATTTGTTGATTTTGTTGATACCACTAATCTTTGGAAGATGAAATAATTGAAATTAAAAGTAGTGATGCTGTAATTCAGGGTTTGGAAGAGTAAGGTCGGGAATGTACAATTACTTTGATCCTCATTACTTTGTGTGTACTCTGAGAATATTTTTAGAGATGAGTTGGTGTCCAGGAGCACTTAGTGTCAAGTGAAGGAGTGCCAAGTTAAGAGTGTGTGTTCTAGAATGGCAGCTTTGTGCGATGGAAAATGCACTGTACTGTTAAGACAGGCTTCCATCTACTGTAGTACCAGTCTGAGTTGTCTTACCTTGGCTGAGTCACTGTATTTCTTTAAATCTCATGTTCATAGCTGTAACACAGAGCTATTTACCTGCTTCACAGGGTTGTTACAAAGATTACAAGAGACAGCCCAGGCACAGTGCTTGGTGCAAAGAATGTACTATTTTTTTCTTTCTATATTCCTAGAACCTTTTGAACTGATACTGTTTAATGCCATTTTCCCCTACCCTTTCTAGACTGCTAGTTCTTCACTGAGATTTTGCCAGGATTTATAAGTACTTTGGGAAAATTGTTTTTGGTATGTGTATATTAGCATTTTTCTTGAAAGTGAGTTCAGAGCTTTCATTATAATTCTCAAAGTCCATGATCACTTCCCTCTCCCACTCTTACTGCCATGTAACAATTAAAACCACTGTCCTAGACTAGGTGTTGTAACTAGAAGTGGTGTTTCAGTAGCCTAGGCAAATTAAGTGTGTCTCATAGGAGTGGTTAAAAGTAATACAAATTTCAGCCTTTTGAGTGTTTGTTGCTGTCTTAGTGTTACGTAAAATCTTCCAGTGTTGTTTTTTAAAATGCTGTTATTTGTTCTTTAAGAAAATATCTATAATGTATTAAAAACTTTGGATTTATGTACATATGAGATGCTTTATATTACAGAAGGAATCTTTCCATAGAGTGAGTCTTAATTTTTTCATTATGAAGGAGGAAAATAAAGATTTAGTGGGGGTCCTTTGCTGTGCATCAAATAGTGAGTTAAAATAACTTGGTTTAAATACACATAAAAAAAGAAAATAGAAAAAAATAGTTTGGTTCTTAAGGAAATTTTGAGGAGCACATCTCTTACATAAATTGAGTTTTACCCGCATTGGTTTACACAGACACATTGTAGATGTGTTTATCTACAAAAACAAGTGCGTGTTGTCTTTGGGCAGCACCGGGGCCCCTGCCGTTCCTTCCACAAGAGAAGAAGTGTTAGCTTAGATCCCCGTCTGGGAGGTGCCATAGCATAGTGGTTATGAGTTGTGGTTGGAGCCAGATTGCTTGGATATAAATCCCACTCTGTCACTTACTTGATGAGCTTTGGCGAGATACTTAGTCTTCCTGTGTCTCAGTTTCCACATCTATAATATTTGGATATTAATTATATGTAGCTCACAGGGTATTATGAGAATTAAATAAGTTAATATTGAAAACCTATGAAAATACTGCCAGTTTCACAGTGCAATAAAAATATGTAATCTAGTTAACAGAAGATTTACATCCATGCAAAGATAAATGTAAGACAGTATATGCTGTATTTTATAAATCAGGTTCCCTAAAATTCTTCAGGATGGAGGAATTCAGAATGGGTGATATGAAAGCTTAAAATTCATGGAAGGAGAGCATAGGCCATGCGCTGGACTTGGATAGATGTCATTCAGATAGAACATAAAGAATAGGCTCAAATTAGAGGGGCATTTTGTGAAAGCAACCAGAATTGGAAGCATTCGTATATGTATATAGGCCATATAAGTTGGGGAGTAAGAGAAATACTGGAAGCTATTTTAGGAAAGTAAATATGGACAAATTGTAAAGGTCCTTGGCCACAAACTGACTTTGAGATTTTTATTTGTAGGTTAGGGCTCCCTAACTTTTATAAAGGAGAAGCTTATGAGTGATTTTGTAGAAAGTGCTTTGTACAGTATTTAGTGGAAAGTAAGCATTCAATAACTGTTAGCAAGTATTAGCAATAGTAGTAAAAATGAAAGTGTAGTGTTCTGCTATCTGGATAGACTGTATTTTTTAAAAATTGCCTATTGGTGGACACTTAGGACATTTCATGTTTTTTTTTCTTCTTCTTATAATCAGTGCTATGATGAGCACACTGCCCATAAAATCGTTTTGTACGTCCGTGGTTCCCTAGGAGAAAATACCATCCCTTAAACTCACCATGGGAGTGTGGTGATGTTTCAGAGGGGATGATAGAAAACAATGAAGTTTTATCAGCTTTAATTTATTCCCCTTTGCTGAGAAATCTGCACAAAACTCATGTTAGAAAGGTTATTATGGCATTAGCTGCCAGCAGGGATGTAGTTCAAACATACTTATTAAAAATGGTGTTTATTAGAGAACCTTTCTATGAGTTAGAAGATTTTTTTTTAAGTCATGGAGGCTATGGGAAGATAATTTGTCGTGTAGACCAGAGTATGAGGTGAAACTAAAGGTATTTATATTATAACTGAATATGTGACTGGTGGTCATAGAACTCCAGAGGAAATATGAAAACAAGACGTGTTAAGTTTTTTGGGAATGTGGAATAACAGGGGAGGAAGAATATTCAATGATGATATTTCTAAGATTACAAACCTCAGTGACTTGGAGAATATGTTCAAAATACTAAAGTTAGGGGCGGGGAGGGAGGGAAAAAAAAAATACTAAAGTTAGGGTGGAAAGCAAATTTTAGAGGGAAGATCTGTTTAGTTTTACGTATGTTTGAAAGAAGAGAGGCAGTTAAAGTAACCTATCCATTAAATATTTGGATAGGCTTCTTATTTTGAGTTTCCTTAACAGCATTGATATTGAAGCCAGGAAGATGGTTGAGTTCAAAGGAATTACACAACTCATAAATGGCAAATGAGATTCAGATCCAAAGTTTTGCTTTGAAGTTTGCATTCTTATAGCTCCATGCCGTGAGTGGGAGAAGTAGTATATTCTCATTTATTGTCAAAACATATATTAGGTCTTCTGATTTTCCAAGTTACTTCTTTTGTTATTTTGCCATTTATTTTATTTTATACCCTTTCCTAAAATTGTTGTTTTATTTAATAAAATATCTTGAATTGTATAGCTCTGGCCTTGAAGACAGGCAGTCCTGGGTATGATCTCAGCTCTGCTTTGTCTCTGTGCATTCCTTAATCACTAAACCTATTGACCTTTTTTAGTTCCAATAATACTTGTGCATATAGCAGAAAGTCCTTCCTGAAATTGAGGTTACTTCTCTTTTATACTTGCCTTTCACCTGTTTTACCTTCCTTCTCTGTACTCTTTTCTATTTAGGTATGCCTAAATGTAACTCTTTGTAGAGCTTGGAACTTGGCTCGTTTCTCCTTTTTAAACATGCCAGCTGACTTCTCATTCTGATTACATTTCCTCTTTAATTACTTTTCATTCTGTTCTCTCTTTTCTGTCTTCATGGATTTAGGTCAGGCCCCTTTTTCTCTCCAACTTTATAATATCCTCCTGGTCCAGTTCTGTATGTTCCAGTCCAATCTCTCCTCCTCGTCTAGTCTGTACTTTCCTGTCCAGTCTCTCCTTCTATCCCAGAGTCATTTTCTTGAAATATAAGTTGAATACTTCCCTACTTAGCAACCCTTCAGTGATTACCCATTGTCAATAATGTTATTTCTTAACACTTGTTCCCTAGGATGAACTAGGTATTTCTTTAGGGAAAAATAAATCAAATGAGTTTGGGAAATGCTTGATAAATGCAATTAGTCAGCCTTCCTTTTGGCGGAATCTGAGTGTGCTAAGGTGCATTGCAAATGTACAAAGGGGATACCGAACAATTTGCAGCATTTCCCAAATATACTTGACTATAGTGTACTTAAAAAAAAATGTCTAATGTCTTAAAACAGGTTTTATTAAGACCCACAGGTGAGGTCCATATGTCTAGACATGGATTTCTAGGACTTTTTTTTCCCCTCAGTCTTTTCCTATCTTTGTTGTCTCATCTCTGGTATTTATCATACCAACTTGGAATTGCCCATGGGGTGGGGGTCATGTGTTGCAGGCTTCAGTGGCTTCCCCCATCTGTCAGGAAACACTCCCTGCTACTCCTAAAGGGAAGCTTATCACCTTCTCTCTGAAGCCTTCTTTGACTCATCCAGGAAGGCTTTACATTTAATTTCTCAGCACTTCCCTCATAGTATACTTGGCAAGATCTTCCATTTTAAGAGTAATCACATGGTACTGTAATTTCCCTTACATTTTTATTTCTATAATAGACTATAAGTTCCTTGAAGGCTGCAACCATTTTCTTTCATTTCTAGGACAGTAGTATTTAGGACAATTGTTAGATATAAGTAAAATAATTGAATTATAAGGTAATTTCAGGAACAGTTCAAATAATATTGATATTCATTTAAGTAAATACCAGTAAATATTTATTTTATTTCATCTTAGAAATCTCTTAGGCTCTTTCTATAATAAGTAGGTAAGATAGCATCAAATTAAGTGCTGTAGGAAAAGTTTTTATGGGGAAGAAACAGAAAAAGTATTTACCATATTTTTGTGTTTTCATAATTTGTATTCATAAAACAAAACATCTTATATTAGAATATAAATAATGCTGTATCTTCACTAAAAACAATGTTTGGTCATTAATAAAAATTCAGTGCTTGCTTTTTCTCCCAGGTAACTTGAGTTTCATATTGAGACAATTCATTCATCTATAGTTTTTAGGATAAGGAACATTATTTATATGAAACATTGTTTAATGTGTATCTCTCTTTTCTTAGGCATCATTCTTAACAAAGAAGTTAAATATTGGTGGGAAGAGAGTAAACCTTGCTATATGGGTAAGTCAACAACTGAGTGAAGGCCTCTACCTGTTCTTGGTATTCTAATAACACTGTGACTCAAGGAATAAGAATTTGAATTTCTGGATTTTTTTTTTTAAGTTAACTGAAGGTTAACCAGAACTTTTTTTAATAACCTTTTTTTTTTTTTGAAATCTAGTTATACAGTTGTATACATGAATATGCTATCATTATTTTTTCAGCTGGTAAAGAGTCCACTTAGAGGGATTCCACATCAGAGAAAGCTCAGGGAGGCCTTTCTCAGCCTGCTTGGCCTTTTCTCCTGTGTCTCCATGTTCCAGCCTTCCAAGGGAGTGGCTAGTAAAGAGTAGGCAAGGGTAATGCAGTAGAGAACTGCACCTGTTGGCAAATGGGCCTGTTGCATGCTCTGTCCTTGTCTCCTCCCTCTGTGGGGAATGCAGATTTAGGGCAAAGCCTATACCTGGCTTATAAATCCATTTTGGCCATTCTGACCCTCTGGCATCTAAACCACTTTTTTAGTAGGGGTGGGAAGATCGCTGAGGTCGGGGAAGGGCTGGGAGGGGAGAAGAAACCTTTGTATAACAGTAAAACATTAAGTATTGATTATAACAATTTGGAAAAAATTTTGTAACCTGTTTTGTTTCTTCTAACAGTGTTTTGGGATTATCTGTAACTTCATGCCTCACTTTCCAATTATTCAAAAGTTCACTGTATTTGCAATAGCAGATATATTTTTTTCTTATCTAATAAATATTTGTTGCCTTATTTAGGATACAGCAGGCCAAGAGAGATTCCATGCATTGGGTCCAATTTACTACAGAGATTCAAATGGAGCTATTTTAGTTTATGATATAACAGATGAAGACTCTTTTCAGAAGGTATTGTATTTGTTTATGGGTAGATAATTTAGAAGAACAACACTGATTTTTCAAGTCTCCATTAACATGCCTTTGTTTAGTAAGGTGATGAGTGTGGGTTTTAAAAGTGAAGTATAGTTTGTGCATAAATGGTGACCACTCATTTTTTAGTGAACTATTTAATTCATGTTAGCAATATGAATATCAGAGTTTTTAATAGTTTATTACATGGCTTTCTCAGATATTAGGAAAGGGAAATAATTTGAAGTAAAGCTTCAGAAAGATATAGGGGCTTTTGGAAAAGTCAACATCTATTTCTTTGGTTCTGTACACACTGAGCACCTGAAAACTTATAGGTGTGACTGTGTGGACTCCCTAATTGTGAAGAGGAAAAGGAGGAACAAAAATTAATGACTACGTGTCCTGGAGGATATAATATAAATTTTAAAAGGACAGTCTAGGTAGTGTTTATTTTAAAACTTCTCCATTTTTTCCCTACTCCTCTTTTTACACCATATATGTAGGATTTTTGAAGTTGTTTGTGACCAAAAATGAGTTACTATTAAATTTACTTAATTCTCATCACAGTCAGGATGGTGACTAATTACTTGTTTGACTTTCCTCTGAAAGCCCATTTTGGAATATGTTTGTCAGGGGTATGTAACTAAAAGGGTTAATTTCCAAGACAGAAACTTTTCTTGTCTTGAATTACAGGTTTGTTCTTACTAAAATTGCTTGCCTTTTTAGTTTTTTTCTTTTCATTTATTTCCCAGTATTTCACTGATGAAGCAGATGTACAAGGTTGCCCTCGAATTATTAGTGTCATTTGAAGAAACTTAGTCCAAGGAATAGAGAAATGAAAGGATAGGTAGCTTGCAGATTTAATGGTATTTTGAAAAGGTGTTTTGCAGTTGCTACTAACTGCTGTTTTCCCTTCCTATCGTTTGTCATTTAAAAAAAATGGTTTAAGTATTACATTGAAGAAGAGAAGATTGAGTCTTTTAAGTTGATAAGGGACCTGTTATCTCTTGCTGCATAATAAAATCCCCAAAATTTGGTGGCTTAAAGCCAATTTATTATTTTTCATGATTCTGTGGGTTGACCAGGCTCGTCCTCTGCTCTGTGTTTTGTCAGTGGAGTTACCTCATGCAGCTACATTGAACTGGGAATTTGGCTGGGCCAGGACCATCCAAGAAGGCCTGGTTCTCCTCTGTATGGCTTCTCACTCCATCTAGTGTCTCATCCTCCTGTACTCTCTCCACATGCTCTCTCATTATTCCATATTCTAGCCTAAGCTGCTTACATGATAACTGAATCTCAAGAGTGAAGCTTCCAGGCCTTTGTGAGGCTTAGGTCTGAAACTGGCATAACATTACTTCTGCCACATTCTCTTGGTCAAAGCAAATTACAGGGCTTGCCCAGATTCAAAGGGAGGGGAAATAGATTACCTCTTGTTATGAGTATTGGGAAAGAATTTGTGACCATTTTTAACTAACCACAGAACGTATGAGGTAATGAATAGGATGTCTGCAGAGGGAGATTTGAGTGCAGTAGAATGACAAATTCTTTTAAAAATTGGTTAGATTTAGTAGGTTCTGATACTGTATATACAGGAAGTACAGTAATACATAATTGTATTCTGGCATATTTCCTTTGAAGTGATGAGGATGTATGTTTTATACCAGTACAGTCAAAAGTTTTCTTATGTGAAATCAACTAGGGATGGAAGTTAAATTCTTCACTGTGAGCTTTATATACACTTATGTAAATGAAACAAAATGCTTGGGCTGTACTGAGAAAATTATGGTTCAGCACTATTATGAAGGTAAGTATGATCACCTTTGCTTTTATAAAGATTTTGGGTTTATTAAAGCAGTTCCTCTGTATTCTTGTAGAAAGTAGGACTGTGGAACTATTACATTTGTACTGTAGGACCAGATACCCAATAGGTGTTTACTACATACCTAATGTAATTTTTATAATTTATAGATATGTGTGTACTTTTTTAAGGAAGGTGTTTAAGTTCTGTGTGGTTTAATTCCATACAGATTAAATTCCATTTCAAAAAATGAAAGGAGGTATCCAAGTTTGTTCTTTATCCTTTTTTATTGTAGTCAACATATTTAAAACTGTGTTAATAGACTAATTTACTTAATTCCAATTTACTCCCAACTGTGCCTACTGCTATACTTCATCCATACTGAAGAATCTGTTTGTTACTAAAGTTATCATACACCCTTGGTTCTCCTCCAGGGGCTGGCAGGGTCTGGAGACATCTCTGCTTGCCACACATGGAAGATGGTACTGTTATTTAGGGGATAGAAGGCCAGGGATGTTGTTCAGCATCATACTTTGCACAGGACAGTCCCTCATGACAAAGAATTATCTGAGCCCAAGTATTAGTAATGCCGAGGTTGAAAAAAAAGTGTCAGATACTGAAGGAAGACAGGTTTTTTAACTCTTTTCTTGTGTGTGGCCTTATGCATTTTTTTCCCTTTACATGTGTAATGCAGAAGCTCCTATGTCCTCTATTTTGGAACCAGTTGGGTTACAAAGGACTTTTAAGCCCATGTGTTCAAAATGAACTTAAGTTCAAGGTGACTCTATGTAAGCATCTCTGATCAGAGGCTGGAGTTGACATGCCTTTGCCATGATTGGTAGCTTTGCTCAGATCTCTGGAAGATTTATGAAAATTTTTAATTATCAGTGCTTCTGTCTATTCCCATATGCAGGTATAGAGAGAAATCTTTCCATTGGATGTTTGTATATATGTGGTTTGCACTGTAATCTGACAACAGATGATCCTATAGTGAATCATTTACCGGCTATTAGACAAAATTCTGAGATATTTTGACAATGCTGAGATTTTGGGGTGTTTTAATGGTAGTCACTGTAATAGGGTTTGTTTTAATATTTACTCTTTTGTATATACAGGTAAAAAACTGGGTCAAAGAATTACGGAAAATGTTGGGAAATGAAATCTGTTTGTGTATCGTTGGTAAGTATCATTACTTTTCAAAAATGTCCTTTATTTCCTTAATACTTTATTAAAGAAGAGTAAACAATCCTCATTTTAAAGTTATATGAGACAAAAAGGATGGCACTTTAATATTTAATGTTTTAGAATAATATAAGATTTGGAGGTGATCTTTCAGGAGATTCAAACATCTGTAATTCAAGGATAGCTTTGGGGAACAAGTGGGAAGATAAACATGTAAGGTGTCAAGTCCCATCCTTGCTTTAATTTGACCTTTAGTTTTTCACTGTAATATTTTGTTTGGAAGAAAAGAGTTCAGGAACTACTTTAAAATAAAATTAAAATTAACGACTTAAATTAGTATTCTTGTTCCAAACATTTAACTGTACATGTTTTTCAAATAAGGACAAATTTGACTTAAAGATATAAGTAGATGGTATTACTAATGTGGAGGAATATTCTTAACTAATGTGGAGGAACTCGAACTTACTCTTGGACTTGTGGAATTTCTCTTTGGTTCCCTTTTCTTTTAGATTATTATTTCTGTGATGTAATAGATAATTAGTGAGCAATAGCATATTCCAGACATTGTGCTATGTACTCAGTAGACATTGTAATCCTCATAATTGAGGGCTTTATAGATGTAGCTGATACTTAGTAGCTTGCCCAGTATCAGGCAGCTATCAGAGATGGGGTTTGAATTGAAGTCATTCTGATTCCTATGCTTATGCTGTTAAGCCTCATGATGAATAGTTTCATGATGTTTTCTCTCATCCTTTCTGTGTGATTGATAGAGTAAAAACAGCCTTGGAGAAAGTGAGATTTTAGTGGAGGACATAGAATGTAGTGGTCAGTGTGGGCAAATTCTGTGTTTAGCCTTAAGAATTTTTTTTTTAAACTTGAGTTTACATTTCTTGTATTTTGTCACCATTAGATTAGTTCCAGATCAGGGTGCAAGTCTGGGGGAAGAGGTCAAGGAGATGATCTGCATGCTTAAACTAGATGCCAGATGTTAGGCTAGGTGGTGGGAATATTTTCAGCTCAGAACACTCAAGTGGTAGACCACATAGAAGTTCAGGGACAAAGCTGCAGCTAATTGTTGGGGAGTTTGGCCTGGCCTTGTCTGGAATGTAGGACTTACTAGGAGTGGACGTAACCACAGTAGGTGAATGACTGAGGATTATAATAATTATTGGGATGCTGGTTCTCTCAGAAGAGAGAAAGAAATGACTTTCTGAAACTCAAAGAAACCTCAAGAGCTTGTTACTTGACAGAGGTTACAAAATAACATTAACTGGGTTATATAAGAAGAGTTAGCTGGGAAGTGAGCTTCTGAGTTATTCATTTAAACTGTATATTATTCATGTTCATATTATAAGAAGGTTTAGGAATATTGGATCTGGTAGCTTACTGCCTCAAGTAGGGTCAATCTTCATTTAATAGAATGTTTGTTAATGATTGATATAAAGTATAAAAAGCTCTTTTCTACTGGCAAGTATGACACAGAATTTTAGGTGTAATTCAGAATTGGGAGAATTTGTGAGGCCATTTATCACTAAACGAAAACTTCATAAAGTTAATAGGTCTGTTTAGTCAGTACCTTAGAAGTCCCACCTGTGCTGCTATCTCATCCCCACACTACCGCACTGTCCTCCCTTCACCACCTCCCAGCCCAAACACTATCATGACTTTTTAATGCATGGACTAGTTTTGTTTTGAATTTTATACAAAGGGAATCATACATGTAGTATGAATTCTTTGTGTCTGTTTTTTTGGCTTTTCATTTTGTTTGCAAGATTCCTCCATGTCCTTATATATAGTTGTAGCCATATTCTTCTATTTGCTATATAATACTTTATTCTGTCACTGTTCCACAGTTTATCCTCTTGCTATTGATGGAAATTTGCATTATTTTTTTCAGCTATTGATTTTTATTCTACTCTTTATAGTAGTTCACCATTTATTCTCTCTGTTTTATTACTAACTTCAAAATAATGTTACCTCACAGGATTGTGGTGAAGATTAAATAATGATTTGGAAAATACTTGGCATCAAGAAGTACTTGACAAATATTCCTTTCCCTTTACATGAGACAGCCCTTTAAACAACTGAACTGTTCTTTGACAGTTCACTGAAAATTTTATATTCTCTAGGTCTTCAAATATTTTTCATTTGGCCTAACTTCCAGACATTGTCATCATCCTGACTTATTTTTTCCTAGGTTTATGTCAGTGTATCAGTGTGTTTCATACACAGGAACACTAGAATCCAAACATTTTTGAGCCAGTGTGCCAGTATGTATTTACATGGTTGCCTCTCTTTTTTTTTTTTTGAGAGGGCATCTCTCATATTTATTGATCAAATGGTTGTTAACAACAATAAAATTCAGTATAGGGGGGTCAATGCTCAATGTACAATCATTAATCCATCTCAAGCCTAATTCTCGTCAGTCTCCAATCTTCTGAAGCATAACGAACAAGTTCTTACATGGTGAACGAATTCTTACAGAGTGAATAAATTCTTACATGGTGAACAGTACAAGGGCATTCATCACAGAAACTTTCGGTTTTGATCATGCAATATGACCTATAAACCATCAGGTCAAATATGAATATTCATTTGATTTTTGTACTTGATTTATATGTTGATCCCACATTTCTCCTATTATTATTATTATTTTTATTTTTAATAAAATGCTGAAGTGGTAGGTAGATGCAAGATAAAGGTAGAAAACATAGTTTAGTGCTGTAAGAAGGCAAATGTAGATGATCAGATGATCAGGTGTGTGCCTATGGACTAAGTATTAATCCAGGCTAGACAAGGGCAGCAAGACATCCACGGATGCAGAAGATTTCTCTCAAAGCAGGGGGGGTGAGGTTCTGAGCCTCACCTCTGTTGATCCCCAAATTCTCACCTGATGGCCCCCCTACGACTGTGCCTGTCTTAGGTTGTTCCTCCCTTGGGTTGCCTCTCTTTTTTAAAAATCCTCATACTATCCATTTACCAGCATTGCCCCAAATTGCATACTTTTTAGCAGCATGTCAACTTGTATCTCTTTTATATATAGTTAACAAAATCTAAACTCCTTTTTTTGTAAGTATTGCTCTTGACAGACTTCTCCAATCTTGTCCTTATATAATTTATTCAGACCTGAGTATAGGAATTTCAACTTGTTACATATTTCTGAGTCTAAATGTCTGATATATAATCTAGCTTTTTCATGTGTAAATTAGTTTTGAACCTTCTATGTCCTTATGTAAGCCACTGATCATGTGTTAACCAGTAATAGAAAAGCCTAAACACACTAGCAGAGACTTTTCCTTCTGGGGTTTAGTAACACCGTTGATCAGAGCTGTGATTGCTGTTTGATAGTATTTTGTTTCTAGTCTGTCCTTAACATTTGTATGTTTGCTAAACATGTTTATAATAATAGTTGCCATTTATTGAGTGCCAGATACTGTTCTAAAAATTACACATTTATAGTGTCATGTAAGCCTCCTTGACAACATTGCAAGAAAGTATTGTCGCCATTTCCTTTTCACACATGAGAAAATGGGCTTAAAGAGCTTGATACTTTTCAAATTATGTATCTAATTAGAGGCAGACCTGGGATTTTAACTCAGGTCTTTTACTTCAAGCCCATATCCTTAACCAATGCTATATATTGCTTGCTATGTACTGAACTTTAGGAATAGTGTAGTGAATAAGTAAACAAAATAGGTATGATCCTTGTCTTCCCAGAACTTAATAATATAAAGATGATTGTTTTTGAAGCCTATTGAAAGTTCCCTGTGTAGATGCACAGTAGTATTGAAACAGATAATGAGCCTCAAAGCCTTAATCCTTTAGGTGTCTTGCTTTAAAAGAATATGAGAACTGAAAAAGTTTTGTGCTTTGGAAAGACTCAGTCATGAATAGGTAATTTAGTCTGCACTGTCCATTATGAACACTAATTATTCAAAGAAATAGTTATTTAACAGAGGGATTAAAAATTTATTTTAAAAATAATAATTAGGTTATTAGCTATTTTAATGATAACTGGGTTTATTAAAGTTAAGTTTAAAATATTAAATAATAAAGCAGTGCCTGAATAATTTCTTCTAAGTATTCACTTGAAGCAGTAAGGTGATTGTCTACCTGTCCTCATTTAAAAAAAAATAGACATTGATAATTCTGGTGGTATTTGAAAAAAACAGCATAAAATATTTAGAAAAACAGCTCATAAGTGCTTAGTTATTAGAACAAAAATCTCCTTGCTAACTACAGGAGGCTCCTGTTTTACCTTTTTAGAGGTAGAATCATGTTACTCTGTTGTAGCCATTGGCCACTAGATGGTGCTTTTTGCATTCTTTGTAACATAAACCAACTTGTTTTTCCTCTGGTGACTATTTGATATAATGGCTCTAATATTTAGCAAATTAGAAATTTTATTGACAAAGTAAAGTGTAGGAAATCAGAACTAATGTTATCCTTGCTGAGGTAGACAGATAACTGTTCAAAGAAGCAGGAATTCATTACTGAATTTATTGGTACCTACAGAGCTTTAGTATATATATTCCACTTCCCTCCCTCTTACCTTTAGGCTGCCTGTCATCTAGTTGCTTGCAGCTGGTCATAGTTAGGTGCTCAGATTATTTGAGGTCCTCCATATACAGAACCTCTGGGCTTATACTTCTCAGTTCTAAGCATTGCATTTTTTTTTAGTTGCTTGCTTCAATGCTTCATTAGAAATTGTCTTCTAGACTCTCTAAGGTCCCAAGAAAAAAATGACCTTATTTACAAGGTGTCCTTTTTTTCCCCCATAGGTCAGAATAGAAGAAATGAAAATATTTGTTTCAAGTGTCCTTCCTTAGGGTATTTATCTGCCTTTCCTATATTTCCATTACCCTTAGCACTCTTGTGTGTCCAGCTAGTTCACCTTAATCTCTACCCTGCATTTAATAAGGAATCTGTATTTTGAAGTTTCTTCACTTTTGTTCTGAGGGCGTTTGAGCGTAATCTCCGTTTGGTTCCATTGTTAAGGAGAGCTAAACTTATTTTCAGTAATTTTAAATCTGCATGATATGTATATATTAAGTTCTCATATTTTTAAAACAAACAGTACAGTTTCCTTCTCTGTGGTTGAAAAGTGCATAAAAAGTCATACAGTTTAATGCTATCTTTAACCAGTTCACATCATTCAGGAAACCAAAATACTCCTAGGATACAAGAGACTAGCCTAAATATATATATTTTTTCTGCTTTACAACAAACTCTTTTATTTATTTATTTTTATTTTTAAAAATTTTGTTAATCTACAATTTGTAATCTACAATTACATGAAAAACATTATGTTAACTAGGCTCTCCCCTTCATCAGGTGCCCCCCACACACCCCATTACAGTCACTGTCCATCAGCGTGGTAAGATGTTGTAGACTCACTACTTGTCCTCTCTGTGTTACACAGCCCTCCCCTTTCCCTGACACCCCACATTATTCATGCTAATCATAATACCCCCTTTCTTAGCCTAATATATTTTTGTGAACAATAAAGTAGCCTTGCTTAATTGTTGACTGGAGACCATTGGCTAAGATCCATAGGTTTATCCCTAGGTTCTCTAGTAAACCCCTAGCAAATCTTAGTCCCCATTATACCTATATCAAAGGATAGTGCCTGTCTTTTTGGAACAGTTTTTTTCTCTGACAGTGGAGCTATAGGAGGTATATTAAATGAGTTATTTGAGGGAGGTTGAGGCCTTTGTTTTGATGGTCATGGTTATCCTTATATCATAGGAGTTAACTTTATAGTTGTAGGACATTTAGAAGCCTGCTGGGATTTGTATTGTTTTTCCAGGTGATTAAAATGGCAATTGTATATTCAAAATTGACCTGATTTCATTATAAAAGTAAATCAGTGTTAAAGATTGGCATTTTTACTTTTTCAAATTAGGTAATAAAATAGATTTGGAAAAGGAGAGACACGTTTCCATTCAAGAAGCAGAATCGTAAGTGTTATTCCCTCCCCTTCTCCCACCGGTCACTCCCTGGTAGAGAAGTCTTCCTCATTACACAGTTTGCTTTACCATTTAGGTATTTCTCAAACTCTTAATATAGATTGAACTACTATATTCAGTGAAGCATGTTTATATTGGTAATTTCTGGACTTTGGGCAACATTTAAAGATACTCTACTCTCCTTTTTTAGTAAAAAATATGAGTGATGCAAAAGAAAACTATCATCAAATAGTCAGTGAGTCATTAAAACTTCTAAACTATTTGAGTTCCAGATTAGCTTATAAAAATTTTAAGTCTTGTTATACTTGTGTTCTTATTTAAAATTTGGTTCAATGCATCGTGATGTTAAATGGCTGTATAATCTTAATTTCACTAAGCCTGGGTAGATTAGTAGCTACTATAAAAAATATTCAGATAACAGACATACTATTAAATACATCTCTGGTGTTACTTTTTTTTTAAGGTATGCAGATTCTGTGGGAGCAAAACACTATCATACTTCAGCCAAACAGAACAAAGGAATTGAGGAACTCTTCCTTGACCTTTGTAAAAGTAGGTATATTCAGATTTATTGTTTAGAAATGGCTTTTTAAAATATAATGGTAGTATTTCTAAAGTGGTATTTTATAGTCTCTGTTAGTAACCATATTGATAATTTTTCACATGTATCAACTATTATTTGCTTAATATTTTTTCTTTAATTTTCTTTAATATATACCTACTTTAGCCCTATTTTAAGTAGTAAGGTTATGAAGTCATACATGTGATATGTGCTAATTACATATAAAAATGAATGCATAACTATTAAAAGTAAAAACAGGGGAAATATACAGATTAAAAGAGACTTAAGAGCTCTAACAATGTGTTGTGGTAGATGGACTTTATTTGAATCCCGACTTGACAAGCTTGTGAAAAAGAATATTTGTGAAACAATTGGGACTATATGAACACTTACTGGATATTTGATGGTGTTAAGAAATTATTGAGGTTCCAGTTCAAGATGGTAACATAGGAAGATCTTAAGCTCATTTCCTCACATGGACATATTGAGTCTTTAGCTACATATGTAAAATTTTTTCTTTAAAAAAAAAATCTGGCTGAGTGAAAACTAACCCTTGGGCAAAGGAGAAAGCAGGTAGGAGAGGCTTGGACACCATTTCATCATAACCCCTATTCCTGGCACAGCAATGCACATCTGGGAGGGAACTCAAAACCTCTGGCTTCTCCCTGTGGTGCAATGGATTTGAACCCCACATTGGGTATCCCAACTTTTAAGATAGGTACTTGAGACAAAAGCCCACAAAACTAACTTTGTAAAACTAATGGGGCTTGGGTCCCAAGACCGCAAGACTGAAATGATCTAAGAAACTATTCTTAAAGGGCTTGCACTTGGACTCACCTACCCCAGTGCTCAGCTTAGAGTTTGCTAATTATGAGGACTTAAAGTAAGGGAGGCCCACCTGCTTCTATTAAAGTGTCATCCTAAGGGGCAGGCATCTAACTTAACAGATACAACTTGGAGCCTGCTGGAATATTATCCAGGGACAGAGACTGGTGGGCACCATCTTCATGCCCTCCTTTTGCCATGCTCTGGTTTACCTGGAAAGGAGCTTGTACACTTGTTTGTAGCCTTGATTGTTGTGACTGCCACCTAAGAGACACTTCGAGATTGTTTGGTTCTACTAGCTAGAGGGGTTATGCTTGTGGTCCCACAGGGCTTTATATATTTCCATACTTTAAAAACCTAATGCCGGAGGATCTGGCTTCTAGTCAGCCTGAATCTAGGTGCTGAGCTCCTCTGGTAGGCCTTGACACATCCTCATCTCCTTGGATTCGTTAAAAATATACTGGGCTGCTTGGGAAGGCCCACAGGTTTGAGAGAAAATTTTTCTGAGGCAGGGTGGAATGACAAGGTTCATCTCCTACATGAGGCCATCCTTCAACACTGGGAGAAGTATTGGTTTCATCTACTATATAGAAACCAACACAGAATTAAGCAAAATGAAGAAACTGGAATATGTTTCAAATGAAAGACCAAGATAGAACTGCAGGAGGTAAAAAAAAGACCCTAATGAAACAATGAGAAGTAATTAACCTGATAAAGAGGTCAAAGTATTGGTCATAATGATGCTCACCAAAGTGGGGAGAACAATGAACACAGTGAGATCTTGGAAAACATAAAAAAGTACCAGTAGAAATCATGGAGTTGAATATAATAACCTGAACTACAAAATACACTAGTGGGTGAAAAAAGATGGCGGCATGATAAGTGTGACAGAAACCTCCTCCCAAAACCACATATAACACGAAAATACAGAAAATACAACTAATCCTGAAAGAGCAAGTGGAAAGAAGATTGCAACAGATGGCCTACATCTGGGAAAAGAGAAGGTATCACTGAAAAAGGGTAAAGTAGCAAAAGCCATGAGCCAGCAGAACCCAAGCCCTCTTCCCATCCCAGCTCACTGGCAGGAAGAAGAAAAATGGAGTGGGGAGGGAGTAGAAGCACAGAACTGCTAAACACCCACCTCAGGAAATCTGCTCTGGGAGCATAAACCCACATTACATAGTGCTGTGGAGATTAGTAGGGTTGGAAAGCAAAAACAGGCAGAATACATGGAAAGACTGAGATTCTAGCCACTTCTGGAGAATAGGTATGCACAATGGGCTCCCCTGGGGCAAAAGGTGGGCACTTTGAAGGACTTCCCAACAGCAAGAGGAGTGCTAAAGGAGTAAAGATTACACAGAGCTTGCTGCTCAGGAGAAAGGGCAGGTGGAGAAACCTTCCCAGCATACTCAGCCCAGCAGATTGGGAACTCGTAGGGGCTTCAGGTGCTCTTACCCCCTGGCTGGCAATGCAGCACCAAGGTCCCCCACTATGATTTGCAGTCTGTAGCTCCTTCCTCCTGAAAGGCAGCAGCTCACCAACCTGCTGGCCCAGCTATCACGCCAGGCTGGCTGGAGGGTGGCCTCGCCTACAGAAACTACAGGGGCATAATACAGAGGCTCCTTCCTCATGCTCGGCTCATTGGCCCTGGCACTGGAGACAGGCAGTGCAGCTGGGAAGCAGGAAAGAGCTCTTTCCTCCTGGCAGAGACCAGCATCGCTCACCTGCAACCTCTGCCATCCCTCCAGATGCTGGCCACCTCTAGAGAGTAGAGTATCTGGGCACTAGAGGGCACCACGTACACAAAGTTGTTATTCCATAATAATCATTACAGATATGAAATGGAAAAACAACCTGGTACAGACCAAAATGCCTCAAACACTGGAAAGAGGGCTGATTGAAACTGAAATCACCAATCTTCTTGATAAAGATTTCAAAATAAAAATCATAAACATGCTCATGGAGCTACAGAAAAATTGTCACGATATCACGGAGGACTTCAAGAAAGAGGAACCTTGAAAAATAAAGTGTCTGAAATGAAACATATAGTGGAGGGATTTAAAAAGAGATTAGATGAGATAGAGGAGACAGTAAATGAAATAGAAATTAGAGAATGGGAATACAAAAGCGCTGAGGCACAGAGAGAAAAAAGGATTTCTAGGAATGAAAGAATATTAAGAGAACTGTGTGACCAATCCAAAATCCAAAGGGAGCACTATTCCATTAGAGGGATATCAGAAGAAGGAGAGAGAGAAAAGGGATAGAAAGTGTCTTCAAGGAAATAATTGCTGAAAACTCCCCCAATCTGGGGAAGAGAATAGTCTCTCAGGCCAAGGAGGTGCACAGATCTCCTAAAACAAGGACCCAAGGAGAACAACATCAACATATATAATAATTAAAATGGCAAAGACAGAGTACTAAAAGCATCCAGAGAGAGAATAAAGATCACATACAAAGGAAATGCATCAGGGTATCATCAGACTTCTCAGCAGAAATCTTATAGGCCAGAAGCGGGGAGGGACATCATACATTTAACTCAATGAACCAAAAGAACCTCAAACCAAGACTAGTCTACCTGGCAAGATTATCATTTAAATTTGAAGGAGGGATTAAACAATTTCTAGATAAGCAAAAGTTGAGGGAATTTACCACCCACAAACCATCTCTACAGTGTATTTTGGATGGACTGCTCTAGATGGAAGTGCTCCTAGAGCTAAATAGCTGTCACCAGAGAAAATAAAACCACAGTAAAGGAAGTAGACCATTAATTACTAAGCAAATGCAAAGTTAAATCAACTACCGACAAAGTCAGTCAAGAGATACACAAAGAGTACGGAATATGACACCTAATATATGAAGAGTGGAGGAGCAAGAAAACGAAGGGAGAGAAAAGAAAGAACCCTTAGATTTTGTTTGAAATAGCATAATAAGCGAGTGAAGTTAGATTGTCAGATAGTAAAGAAGTTGCCCTTGAGCGTTTGGTAACCATGAATCTAAAGCCTGCAATGGCAGTAAGTACATATCTATCAATAATCACCCTAAATGTAAGTGGACATAGAATTACATGACGGATAAAAAAACAAGACCCATCTATATGCTGCCTACAAGAGATTCATTTCCAGTCCAAAGACATAGAGTTACAGGATGGATAGAAAAAACAAGACCCATCTATATGCTGTCTACAAGAGATTCACTTCCAGCCCAAAGACATATGCAGACTAAAAGTGAAGAGATGAAAAAAGATATTTCATGTAAATAATAGGGAGAAAAAAGTAGGAGTTGCAATACTTGTATCAGACAAACTAAACTTTAAAGAAAGTAACAAGAGACAAAGAGGGACATTATATAACAATAAAGGAGTCAGTACAACAGGAGGATATAACCATTATATATATGTATGCACCCCACATAGGAGCACGTAAATATGTGAAACAAATACTAACAGAATTAAAGGGGAGAAATAGAATGCAATACATACATTTTAGGAGACTGAACACAACGCTCACTCCATAGGACAAATCAACCAGATGGAAAATAAATAAGGAGACAGGCACTGAACAATGCAGTAGAAGAGATGGACCTAACAGACATCTACGGAACACTCCACCCAAAGGCAGCAGTATACACATTCTTCTCAAAGGCACATGGAACATTTTCCAGATTAAATCACATACTAGGCCACAAAAAGAGCCTCAGTAAATTCCAAAAGATTGAAATTGTGCCAACCAGCTTCTCAGACCACAAAGGTATGAAACTAGATAATAAATTATACAAAGAAAACAAAAAGGCCAATGAACACATGGAGGCCTAACAGTATGCTTCTAAATTATCAATGGATCAAAGACCAAATTAAAACAGAGATCAAGTAATATATGGAGAAAAATGAAAACAACAACTCAATACCCCAAAATCTGTGGGACAGAGTGAAGGCCATGCTAAGAGTGAAGTATATTGCAATACAAGCTTACTTCAAGAAACAAAAATAATCCCAAATGAACAGTCTAAACTCACAATTAACAAAGCTAGAAAAAGAACAAATGAGGCTCAAAGTCAGTAGAAGGAAGGACATAAAAAAGATTAGAGCAGAAATAAATAAAATCAAGAAGAATAAAACAATAGAAAGAATAAATGAAAGCAGGAGCTGGTTTTTCGAGAAAATAGATAA